TCTATATGTACATGTACTCGTATATGTGGAGAAGAAAAAAATGAAAATATTTTTTGTTTTCTTTTTCATTTAATATTATTGTAGGATTGGAGCTTGACATATTCTGTTTAAATTAATTAGCAGTTCATTGCTATAAATCAAGGATAAAAAAAAAATTCTCAAATAAATTTGAACGGAAAAGAAATATTTCATAAAGAGATTTATAATGTAAAGATGGCGGTAATATAGTATAGTAGGTGCAAAAATCAGCTTCTCATGTGTAAATGTTTATGAATGAATATTTTTGTAAAATTAATTACAAATGCATATCGGTGCGAATAATGCTTATATCTGACGAAATTAAATGAGATATTAAAAATTATGACGCAAAAAAAAAAACTCAAATATAAATTGTCAGTGTCAGAAAAGTTTAAAGAAAATGTTTGTTTGTGTGATTGGTTATCCAATAGAGAATTATGCAAATATTTTTATAATATTTTTATAAAAGATAAATAGTTGTAATAATTATAGTTTTCATTACATTTGATGTGCTCCTTTTGGCAGAAACGAAACACTTCAAAATATTCCGGAATTGGGAATAATTTAAATATTGAAAATTTGAATTACATTTATTTTCAATATGAAAAAGTGAAGACATCTATATCATATTAAATGTGAATAAGTATTCATTTTAGTTATTCCTTTGAACAGCCAAATATTGTTGAGATTATTAAAATTAATGTACTAAGAGCATTATATTGTTAAAGTGTTATATGTCTTTAAACGAAGTACTAATTTGCTATATATGAATCACGTATGACTAAAATGAAGTAAAATTTAATTGCTCGTGTTCCAACGTTCGAGAGAATGAAGAATATAATTAAAATTTCACATTCTCCGGAATTAAAAAATGGGGTTAGATTCCAAAATTTTTCTCGAATTCGAATGTTTCAATTTAATTTTCGAAAATCAGAATTAAATATCAAAAAAAAAGTAATGACTAATATTCTGTTCCAATTCTCAAAATAGGGAATAACAGAACACCATTATTCATTTCCCAAAATTTCATTTAAATGAGGAATGTGTTTCATATACCGGAACACCAATATCTCTATTCTCTTGTCGCATTCTCATTTTGCGAATAACGAATACTTTTCAAAAATCGAAAAAATCATTCTTAAAAATGAAAATTGATTAGGAATTTAACATTGTTCTTAACATCGCACCACTAATCGTTACAAGTAATTTTTAGAATAATTTATTTTTTATTTTGAAAGAACAAACGTCAAAATTTGATAATTTTTTAATTTTTTAAAACGACAAAATTTTTATTACTTAAATTGTCACAATATTTATGACGTTGCATATTGCATTAACCTCCTAGACAATAATTATTAAAAACTTGAAATTCCCTTTACGTCCTTTTTATAATATAAAAGTGGGCATATACATAGATGGTTTCTGTTTCTGTATAGTTTGATATTTTTGTAAAAAAAAAAAAATTTTTTTTTTATCTCATTTCTTTTTAGACTTTGACTCGACTTGAATTCATTTTTTTTTTCATTTTTGTGGAGAATATATATAAAGAGGATATTGGTAAGGATGTTAAAGAGAAAAGCTAAGGGATGAATTGCTTCGTTGGTTGGTTTACTTTCAAAATATAAAAGCCTGCTGCTGCTGCTATTACTACTGCTTGTGGGCTTTCATTATTTTTTTCGCAAAAAAAAAAATTTTTTTTTTTCATTTTATATTTTTATTTTTGGGAAGTATAGAACTTAAAGGATGCTTTTCATTTTTATTTTCGTTTTTTTTCTGTTTCTGGTTTTTTTCATTTTTTTTCGAAATTTATATACAAATGAAAATGTTTTCTGTGTACGAAGAGGTGGATGAAATTTCAGATGAATTTTTGTTAAAAAAAAAAAAATTATTTTTATACATAAATCTACATACAAACAGAAATATACATACATACACATGTGAATGTTACTTTTTTTTATTTTTTTTTGTTTTTCATTTATTTATTTTATTTATTTATTTATTATTATTATTATTATTTTGAAGACTTATTATGAAGGAAGAAAATGAATAAAGGATACATTTTATAATATCAATATATGTACGTATGTATTGATGTACGTATGTATATTATATGTAACTACATATACGATTACATAATGGAAAGCATGCATACATATGTAGATGATTATATTTTATTTACCTTGAATTTTAAATATATAAAAAAGAAAAATGAAAAACATGAAAAGTAAAGTAATTTCAATATTTTATAAATGTTATATAAAACTAGCTTTGACCAAAGAATCTTTGAAGTCATTCGAATTCATCTACATATATGAATTCATTATTCATTCAATTCACTATTTATCATGTAAACAGAATTATGCATTATATTATTATGTGCATAAATGTACACGTATTAATATTTAAAACTTTAAAATTATAAATGGGCATTGAAACTAATTGAAGATGAAAAAGTAATTTTGAATAATTTAAATTAACAAATTTATCTGTCACTCGCCGTAAATTTACTGTTATATAAGAGTTATATGACAGTGTTCTGCTCACAATGAAATAAAATAAAAATTTGGACAAATTGCAATATTATGTACTTCACAAGACAAACTATTGTTGGGTATATTAAAAATTTTTAAACGCAATACTGTAGAAACATAACGTGACGGATATGCAATATATTTTTGACAATTCTATGAAAGCAAACCAGGTCGTATATTCATAATATAATTCCAGTTCATAATAATTCAAGTATTTATTACATTTGAAAATTTAGCAGTGTTAATAATTGAATTTAGCAATTTATGAACAAACTTGTAATATTTGTTTATGAGAACAAATATATTAAAAGCAGTGTTCACTGTATATCCTGGCATACTTATACCATAACACATAGCGATTGATTCCAAATGAAAACAAACGTTATAGTATATAATCGCTATATAAAATTAAATCGAAAATTTTTTGGTGAAAATAAAAACTCAATTATTCTTGTAGAGATGTCATTACATTAAAAATGTCATAATCAATATTAAAATGTCAAATGTCAATGTCAAATGAAATTCTCAAAAAGTATTTTACACAAAATTTTTGTCTATAATTGTAAAAATAAGCAAAAAATAAATTTTCGTTTTGCAATAAGAGACCGTTACTAGGAGGCAGTCAATTAATTATTATTTTTTTTATAATTATTATGTAAACAAGCTAAAACGTCTTAACCTCAAATATTATAGTTTTAATATCATTGAAAATTTTAATCCCTTTAAATATAAATTCAATCAAAATTTAGTAAATACGAGTATGATTAAAAGCCCTTAAAAAATCTAAATTATTTTTTAAAAAATAATTATATACTTCACTTAAAATTTGATTTATTAATGGTACTATTACAGTTTTCTGAAAATTAGTTAAAAAATTTAAAATCTTTTATTTCCATTCTCCTCTAATCTGAAAAATTCGCTCAATTGTAAGAAAACGCAATTAAAAATTGACACAAAAATAAACATCAATTTGTCAAATTAGCTACATGAATTGTCATATTATGTCAAAACTATACCATTAACTCTTAATTATTATTCACTAACTGATTTCCATTATCTCTTAAGTAATAGCAACAATATGATATTACTCACTTATGTTATCTACTCCTTTTAATTTTTCAATTCGAATGTCTAATTCAGGCGAAAAATCTGTTTTACCCATACAATTGCCATAATAAATTAAAAGTTCTTCTAAATATTGTTTGTCACTAAATGCCTAAACAGAGCTAATAGTTACATTTAAGCTATTAATTATATAATTTGCGAAAAATATTTAATTTTAAAGTGAACTCATAATATTTTAATGTCAACGTAATATGTGACAACACAACTACTATGCTATCATTGCCTATATACAGTGTGCGTGTATATGTACAAATAAATGTATGAATATTTGTTTGTTAAATTTTAGTGTATGTATGTTTGTATGTACATGCAATATATATGTATGTACATATGTTTTTTTCTTGTTAGTTTTCCTTTGCGTACTGGTTCGGTTTTCTTTTCTTTTTATTTTATTATATTTTTTTTATTTTTTATTATTTTCATTGTAATTGTTGTTGTTATTATTATTATTTTTGTTTTCGAACACTTTTTGTTGTTGTTGTTGTTGTTGCTATTAAAATAGACTTCAAAAAAATTCTTTTAATTAAAGTTTTTTTTTTTTCAAGTTTATTTTTGTTTTTCTGTTTATTTTTTTTTTCTTACTTTCTCTGTCTCTTTCCAACAACCTTTTAATTTCATATTTGTTGTTTTTCATCTGGTGTTTTCAGCTTTGACCATTTTTTTTTTTCATTTTACTTTTCTTTTCGGAAAATTTCCTTTTTTTTCATAATTTTTATGTTTTTAAGGAGGTAATTTATGCTACCCTATGGAGTATAAATATTTTTTTTTAATTTTTTTATTTACGTGCATATAAATAAACGTTTATACATACATACATATAGTTACTTACATTTACAAAAAAAAAAAAAAAATATGAAGCTAAAATTATTTCTGAAATACGCAAAAAAAAGAGCCCCAACTTTTAAGCCACCCACTTTCTTCTTTTCTTTATATGTAACTAATTGTGAAAATAATGAGTTTTTGTTAGTATTTTTTACTCTTCTTACGTTTAATAATGGTCATTTCCTTTCTTGTTACTTAAAAATAAAAATTTACTACGTACTTTTTAAATTTAATGAGAAACTCTGTTTAAAAATTATTAAAAAGGAAAATTCCAAGCCCAAAAAATTTAAATTATTGCAATTATATTATTCAAATAGATCTTAACAAATGATGTTTCCACAAAATTAAAAATTTATGAAGGTTGCTTGCTTTTTACATAATCGTAATTCATAAGGAAAATATTAAAAATTAACAAAATATGTAGAATATCTAAAGTTTTAATGAAATTTTTAAAAAATTTTGAAAATGATTATATCAAATATTTTTATTTCTATATAATTTCAGAAGCGTAATGGCAGCATCAGTATATGCTACGCCCCCACCAGATTTGAGTAGTGAAGATACAGCATTAAGTGATGCATCAAATTCATCACAAATTAGTAGTACAAGTTCACATCATAGTAAAACAACAAAACGTAATATAGCATCAGTGCTATTAGGTGGTAATAATGGTGGTATTAATGTTAATAATATAACAAATTCACAAATAATAACTGGACAAACAACAATAACAACAACAATAACAGCAACATCACCATCTCGACCAAGTTCTATGTCATCAAATTCACCAATTGATTCATCAATAGATCAATCAAAGAAAAGAAGAAAACAAACAACACCAATTAGAATATCTGGTGTTACAAATACAACAGCACAACAATCACAACAACAACCAGAACAACAGCAGCAATCACAGAATCAACAGGAACAAGAATCAACTAGTTCAATAAATAATCAAGAAATTGAAAATATTTCTTCAGATAAAATAAATTTAAATAATTCAATAAATTCATCAACACAAAATTTAAAGACAGATCCAATTAACAGAGAAAATTTTATAATTCCAATAGCTGATAACCAACAAACTGAATTACAAAAGGCATCACAACAACAAAATAATGAAAATCAATGCAAAACAGATGATATAAAATGCCAAAGTACAAATGAAACATTAAATAAAAACTCAAAAGAGAATTGTGACAAAAGTAAAGATGAAATTGATGAAAGTTTTACAGAAGTCAAAGATAAAACAATAAAAATTGAACCAACAATTGACACAATAACAACCAATTTAAAAAACATATCAAAAAACGAAACAGATTTGAATTCAAAATCAATGAAGAGTAATTTACCTTTATCAATAACTGAAACAGAAAATTCCAAAAATCTTACAACTGAGGTTGAGAATTTTAAAGAAAATTCACAAACTGCAAGCATAATTAATCATCCTGATATTTTAATCAGTAATAGAAATATTGGTAATTTTCGTAATATTGATTATTGCCAAGAATGTGGTGAAAAATTTGATAGTGAATTAAAACTGAGTGTTCATATATTACAAGCTCACACAATACCAAAGGTACATGTAATACCAAAGAATAATTTTCAAGATAAAAAGAATAATTTAATTGATATAAAGAATGAAAACGAAGCAACAGCAACAAACACAGGGACATCGCCATTATCAAACTCCAAAAACGGTCTAGATATAACACCCGTTCGAATAAAATTAGAAAATTCTGATTCAGATAGTGATTCGGAGAATGTTAACAACAACGGCAACAATAATAAATTAAAACAAATGTCTCCAATTGATAGCCATATAAATAATAATAATAATAACAGTAGTAACAATAATAATAGTAATATGAATGGAAATCCTAATTTACCACCATCACGACCAGATGAATGGTTGTCATCAATATCTAGTTTAGGTTTTCCATTTCCGCCAGAAGCGGCAGCTGCTTTTTCTGCTAGCAATTATCTATCACAATTACCGTTATTAGGTGTACCTCCAGTCGGAACTTTTAATCCAGTTGAAGGATTATCGAGACCACCATTACGCATTTTTAATCCAGAAGCATATTGCGATTTATGCAATAAAGAATTTTGTAATAAATATTTCTTAAAAACGCACAAAGCTAACAAGCATGGTATTTATGATCCAGTAACTTCTTCAAGTGATAGTACAGGAACAGCATCAAATCAGTTTAATCAAATATCACAAGTATTACAGATGCAATTTCATCAACAACAACAGCAACAACATCAACAGTATGAACATCATAAACAATTACAACAGCAGCAACAAACTCCACCATCACCAATAGATATATCAGCACAACAACAAATATCACAGTTACAACAGCAATCTCAACAGCATTCAAGTCAACATCATTCTCAATCACAAAAACAACAGCAATCTTCGACATCTACAGCTTCCCAGCCAACACCACAGTCTTTAATGCCACCAGAGATCACTGTATTCTGTGATATCTGTAATAAAAGATTCACAAATATATTCGCTATGAAACGTCATCGTTCTAAAGCTCATGAAATACCAAGGCAAACAGTTAGTCCAATATCTGCAACAACATTAACTAGTAATAATAATAGTAATAATAATATCAATAATAATACAACATCTCCTAATAGCTCATCAAATCTGATGAAATTAGATACAACAGGAAATAAACAAAATACAACAAGTATAGTACAACCACAATCATTATCAATATTACAACAAAATGAACAACTTCAACATCACGAACAACAACAAAATCCAAACAGTAGCAACAGTAACACTAGTAACACTAGTAGTAGCGGTAATAGCGAAAAGGATATTTCTTCCTCATCTAATAATTTAAGTACACAACAACAAAATCAGCAACAATTACTTCGTATACCAGAAGGATTTAAGGAGGATTATACATTAGAACAAGAAGAAGTTTCTTTTACCCCTCAGCCACGAAAATTATCTCCATCATCGGTTCAACAAGCGAGAGAAGCAAATTTCTCTTTTGATAAACTGAAACGGTTGGGTGTTATTAATCCAGAGGCATTTTGTGATTTATGTTGCAAAGAGTATTGTAATAAATATTTTTTGCGTACACATAAATTGAAAAGGCATGGAATTTTTATACCAATGGATGATTTGATACCAACATCAACAAATCCTATTACTGGTAATTCAATCGGCAGTAACACAAACCTTAAAGAAAATGAAAAAAATTCTATACCAGTATGGCCGCCGTTTGTACAACAAATGCAACAGCAAATGCAACAAATACAAATGCAAATGCATCAAGCAACACCGCTTAATTTAATGATGGCGGCAGCTGCTGCAGGTGTGCCACCGAATGTCACTGAAAAGAGTCAACGTAGACCAAGTGAAGATTCTGATGACGATATGAATACGGGCTTAAGTGAAACAAATAGTTTTAAAAAAATACGTCTTGACAATATTTTAACCCGCGCAGATGATGAAAAAAGACCCGTTAGTAGCAGTCGGAATCTTCTTGAACCGGACGAAAAAACTGATAAACGAAACGAAAAAGAACTCATTAGTAATGTTGGTGAAAATGCAAAAAATATTGAAATTCCAGACAATCTCACCCAACTAATGCAGGAAGGTTTAGTAAATGCAGCCGCTGCGGCAGCTTTTGCCTCAACCCATGATCCTGATGCAGTTGGTTTAGATTTACAAAAATTACAATCAATGATTTTGCAATTAAATGACTTAAATGGCCAGAAACCAACTGTGTGTAATTTATGTGGAAAAGAAATGGAAAATCAATTTCATTTACAAGCTCATTTAGCTACCGAACACATTGGTAATTTAAGTAATTCTAGTGAAGACAATAATGTTTTACGTAGCCAAATCGAAGCCGGTCTTTTGCCATTCAAATCACACTTTGGTATTCCATCACAGCAATCATCTCCAACAAATAGTAATTCACCTGAAATTTGTAAACAATGCGATCGTGAATTTCCCGGTTTAATGGAATTGAAACAGCATATCATTGAATATCACGGACTAATGTTAAGTAGTCCGATTCGTGAAGGTTTTATCACACCAGAACGATCAATACCTGGTGGAGGTAGTTTAACTGCACCATCTACACCAAATCAAATGGATCGTAAGCCCCTATATACGGTAACTCCAACAAGTAGTTATTGTGAAATATGTAATAAAGAGTTATGCAACAAGTATTTTATGAAAACTCATATGCAACGGATGCATGGTATCGAAATAGAAAATGGAGCTCAAATCGGTGGTGTAGTATGTAATATATGTAACAAAGAATTGTGCAGTAAATATTTTTTAAGAGTACACAAAACAAACAGTCACGGTATTGTTGATGAAGGATCGCCAATACCAGGACCGATTCCTGGTAAATTTGACGAAACAACAAAAAATTTATTCGATGCATTTGATAGTAAATCTGGTGATTTATCTGATTTAGGTGCAAGATATTTTACACATTATACCGAAGTTTGTCCACTATGTAATCGACGATTCAGAAGCTCAAAATGGCTAAGAGCTCATTTGATGAGTGATCATGGAAAAATTGGAGTTGAAAAATTACAAGAATTAGCACAAAGTATGATATTTAGTAAGCCAGGCAGTCCAAGTCCAACACAATTAAAAATACCTAACGGTAATGGTGGTCGACCAGATGGAGGTAACGGTAATATAACGCCAAGTGGTAGTAATGTTAATAATCTAATAATGGGTGGTCTAAATAATTTAGATCCAGCATTTTTAGCAAAAGCTTCACCATTTCCAAATTTATTCATGAAATCAAATAATCCAAATGATGAACAATCAACATCACCTTCATCAACAAATCAACAATCAAGATTTCAAGAATATCAATGCTCAATTTGTCCATTTACAACACCATATTACGCTTTTCTTTTTATTCATGAAAGATCACACAGCATTTTAAATTCAAGTTCCGTTGAACAAAATAATTCCGGTGATGGAGATAGAGATCGAGAAATTAGTCGCAACATTAGTACCGCTACTGCTATCGGTACTGACATTGAAGAGCAGTTACGTAACGAAGAAAATATAAAAATTCCTGAAATTGATCAAACTGAAATAACATTATCTAAAAGTAGTGAATTATCACCGAAACCTGAGAAAAGGATCAAAACACCAACTAAAACAATATCCGATGAAAATGAAAATTTAAAAAAAGACATTGTTATGACAGAAAATGATAACAGTATAAAAAAATCAAATGAAATCAAAAATACCCGATCAGATTTAAAAACAGATAGGGAAGAACAAAAATCAAAATCACCAATGAAATCACCATCTCACCAACAAACAACTTTAACAAATGAAATGTCTGTAGAATTATCAGAAAATAAAAGTGAAATATTAGAAGAAACCAGTCTACAACAAAAACAAGAAAAATCACATTTACAATTGCAAGAATCTGAACAACCTTTATTAGAATCAAAATTAGATATAACAACATCAATAGGAACAAAAACATCATCTATAAATTCTACAGCTGGTCTAACAACATGCGGTATACCAAATTTTAATACATTAACACATCTTGCAAATTTATTAAATCGACCGGCTTCATATGCAATTCCACAAAATTTTACTACATCTGATGGCGAATTAATGCAATCATTTTTAATTGAAGAAAAGAAATTACAAAGTACAACAACAACATCGTCATCATCAACAACTGCAGCATCATCATCATCAACAACAACGGCAGCAGCATCATCATCATCATCATCTTCAAAATTATCAGTTTCTTCATCTGCATTACAAGGAGATGAAGTGAAGAATAACGAAGATATTGTAACAGATGGAAAGGATAATGATGAAAAAAATGTAAACAGGTTTGTGCCAGCTGTTATATTTTTACCTGTTAGAGAACGTATTTCAAATCCAATAACAGTATCGTTTACATTAACACCAGCTTAAAAATTAATTTTTATTTCGCATTTTCTTCAATTTTAAATTTAGTTTTTTTTTTTCTCTGTTTTAATTTTATTTTTTCAATCTTAATTTTAAATGTTGTTTTTTTTCTTAAATCAAAAAATATATAAGATAAAATTTAATTTATAAGAGAAAAAACAAAAATGTAATTATAACTGAGTAGACTGAGAATTGTTAAATTTTTAAAATCAGTTATAATTTAATGAAAAGAGAAAACAAACGCTCATTTTATGTAAATTAAAGAGAGAGGCAATAACCCTCTCAATTTTCTATTAAATATAATTCAAATTTCCCTTATTTTTATTCTCTTTAAGTAGTGGTCTGTTTTTTTTATAATTAAAATAAAAGAGTAACCAAGCAAAAAGTTCCTATATTAAAAAATAACAAAATGAAATCATTTTAATAAAATAAATGATTAAAAAAATAAGAAAGTTAAAAAAAAAATAGAAAAGAATTGGAAAATGTAGTAAATTAAAAATTAAAAATTAAAAAAAAATCAAAAGAAAATCGTAAAAAATCCAAAATCTCAAATAAAAACCAAAAAAAAAATCTAAAAAAAAAAATATATATATACAAAAAATAAGTTAATAAACACAAAAATAATATTAAAAATTAAAAATATACAACAAAACATATAATAATTATTAATTTATTAGTTGAACAAAAAGGTAGTCAATATAAAATTATAAAATTTGTACAGAAAGAAGAGAAAATAAAAAATATTAATTGAAAACAAATTATTAATTGTACAATTAATAGTCAAAATTAAAATATTCTTGCTCAAATATTTATGATAAACTTCTTGTACTTTTCTCATTTTAATTCTACAAAATTTATTTCAATTTTAATTTTATTTCAGTATTTAAATTATTTCATTTAATTATTCAATGTTTTTTCTATTAACAGCTAAAATATTATATAAATTTTTTGTTATTTTTGACTATAGTCATATTAAAAACTAATTATTATTTAATGCGAAAATTAACGAAAATTTAGAGAGAGTAAATAAATTTTTTTTTATATAACGATTATCATGAAAATAGCAGTACTGAAACCAAATTTGAAATTAAGTTGATATAAAATTTAATATAAAAAATTCGCTTATGTATAAAATATAAAAATATAAAAACGTGCTACAATCATTACAACTAACAAAATTAAATAATTTATATAAGTTTTCCTTTTAAATATCATGCGTGCTATAATACAAGTTATAAAATATAATTAATATTAAATATTCAATCCCGGCTTGTTGTATACAAATTAACGTAAAATATCCTTTTCAAAATATTTATTTAAAATTCTATTACTTTTCAATAAAATGTCATATTATGTATAATTTTCAATTTAATTCAAATTAATAAAATTTAAATCAATTCAGTTAAAATTACCTTTCAATTTAATTCAATTAAATTATTCCATTCAATTCAACTCAATTCAATTAAATTCAATTAAATTTAAATTTATTTAAATTTTTTTTCTAAAATAATTTTGCTCAAATTATTTTACTATGGCTATCTCACAAAATCTAATGTCAATTTGATTTATTCCGCAATACAATTGCAATTACTGAATAAGTCAAATTGACATTAGATCTGAATTTTTGGTAGACACCCTATAGATATATTATTTTAACTCTCATTAAAGAAAAAATAGGATTCCTTCCATTTGCTATAAATATAAAACCGAAAAAAAATCATATATAAAAAATTTAAATATTTATGGGAAAGCTTCGCTAAAATTTCAAAATTTCAAAAAAAAAAAATAAATATGTAAAAATAATTAATAAATTATATAACACAACAAAAAACATAAATATTAAAAATTTTATAAATTAAAGAAAATAGGAAAAACAAAATACGCGTTTAAGAAAATCCAATAATTATTGAAAATTGAAAATAAAATTTTGATATACAATCAATATAAACAGCTTAAATATATATTAAAAATCATGCATTTATTATTATTATTATTTATATTAATTATTATATAATTAAATAATTATTCTAATAAATGAACGGGTTTGTAAAATGAAAGAGTTAAGTGATGCTTTCATTGGTTTTCAAATTCAAAAATTGATTTTTATATCCCGATTTACGAATGCGTGCAAAAATTAATGAAAATTAAATTATCTAATTAAATTGTCAAACCCTTTCAATTAATTAAATATAATTATATAATTTTATTATTATTTAAAAAGCGAAACAAATATTCATACACAAAAAAAAGGCAAATAATTCATATTTATTTGAAAAATTTTATATATAAACAATTGTCACTTTTGACATTCAAAATGTCAATATTCGAAATGTGACACAAAAAAATTATAATTTTTTGTTTATGTATGCAATTAATTGTCATTTTAATATCAAAATGACATTTTCTATTACTATAATTAATAATATAGTAATATTAAATGGAAATCTCCTACATATATACGTAAAAATAAATTTAAAATAAAAAACAAAACAACAAAAAAACAAACAAACAAATTTAAAATGCCAAATTTTATTCTTAATTTAAAAAGCTTTTATTTTGTTTTATAAAATAAAAATTTAACAAATACAAAAAAAAAAAACAAAAAGTAAAAGTACAATTTATTATAAAAATATAAAAAAAAAAACAAATTAAATAATTAAATAAAAAATATTAAAAATGGAAACCCAAATTACAAAAATACAAAAATTTCATCTTCAGTTTAAAAAAAAAAAAAAAAACAAAGTATATGCTACCTCAATTAATAATTATTAAATAAAAAAATAGTCAAAACACAAAAGACAAACAAATTTCAAATGTAAATAATATTTTTGTATATATGTATAAATAAAAAAAACAAATTATTGCAAAAAAAATCTCACAAATTGTCACAAACAAAAAAAAACAATACAAAACTAAACAAAAATTAAATAATAAGAAAATTATACATATGTACAAATTTAATAATTATAATTATAAAAAAAAAACAATGTAGTTAAAATACAAAAAATAGTAAAATTAAAAATTTTAATTTATAAGAGCAAATTAAGAAAAAAACATTTAATTTATTTCAACAAAATATTTAATTTATTTTTTTTTTAATTTCAACAAAATATTTAATTATTTTAATTATTCAATTGGTAATTAAAATTAAAAATTATTAAAGCTGGAATTTTTATAAAAAAAAATATTATTTTAATAAATAATATTTTATACATACATATTGGATTTCAAAAAAATTCTAGTCAGAAAAACAAAAATTCATTCTCAAAAAAAAAAAAATAATAATTTTCCAAAGAAAAAACAAAAAGAAATTAATCTAGTCATTTTCTAAACAAATTATTTTTAATATTAATAATATAGAGAGAATAAAATAAACAGAAAAAAAAATATTCATATTTGATCGATGATAATCATTTATTATAAATTATAATAAAATCAAATTCAATAAAAAACAAATATAAATAATTAACATAATAAATAAAAAATTGACATATGAATAAAATGTCAAAATTATTTTAAGAAAATGTCAAAATTTTGTCTCTGATGTCATTTTTTGCTTGATATGGTAATGATCTTATTACAATGTTGTCGAAAATTTTCATATTATTTTAAACTTTTTAATATGAAAAATTTTGATTTATCAATTAAAATATCTATCAATGTCAGATCTGCTTTCTTGCATTTCGATAGACATTTTGTTTTTAATCTAATTTACTTATTCCATATTTAACATACTTTTGATTATAATTTTTCTTAGCAAATTCATTTTACAATTGATCTTAAATTGAAATTGAGAAATTTTCTCTTCAAATTTCTCTATATGATTACAGTAATAATACACTGAGAAAAATATAATATTATAATTTATATTTTATGAATATTTTATATTGAGCTTAAATTATTTTAATATTTATTATTAATATGCATTAAGAGACCCATCAATTCGATTTTAAATAAAAAATTTGACATTTTCTTGTAAATAATTTTATTTTTTTTGTCTTAAATAAGAAATCTAATTGCTTCGATTATTTATAGAACTGAAAATAATTTCACTTCATTTTTGGACAATTCGTAATTAAATAAATAGTTAAAAAAATTTCAAATCAGATTTAAATTAAAATTTTTTATAACAGCGTCGCTAATAAATTGGGAATTTTAATTTTTCATTTCGGTAATTGTTTTTTCTTAAATACTAAAAAATTCGAAAGACAAAAACAAATTAAAAATTTATTCCATAAAAAAATTAATTTTAATTTAATAAAAATATTTTAATGGTAAAAAAGAATCAAATTTCGGCAATAAACTAAAATTTCGGCAAATTAAAAAATTATTAACAAAAAAATATAAAAAGCGAAAAGAAGAAGAAATTGTTAAAATTATTAAATATTATATTTTTTAATAATAGCTTCAGAAAACAATATAAATTATGAAAAATAAAAATGCTATGTGCCTTTTTTAACAATTTTTCGATGAAACTTACAAAAAATTTAAAACTTATTAATTTTTTTTGTTTTTCATTTCAAAATTAAGCAATTTTTATACTTGAAATTAATTAAAATAAATTTTAAATAATTAAATTTTATTATTAAATTTAAAGAATAATTATTTTAAAAAAATTTCATTTAATTTTAAAAATTTCATTTAATTTTAAAAATTTCATTTAATTTATAAAATTTCCTAAAAATTATCTGCTTTTTATATTTTTATTAAAATTAATAAAAAAAATTTAATCAAAATTTTAAAATTAAAAAAACAAACAAAAAGAACAGGTTTAACGAACATTTTTTTTACACAATCAAATAAAAAATTATTTACGGGTGATATAAACTTAAATTTGAAAAACAAAAATAATTAAAATTCAATAAAAAAAATTGCAGAAAAAAAAATCAAATCAATAATATCTAAAACAAAAAAAAATAAATTAAAAAAAATTACTTAAAATTTAATTAATAATAAAAATGCTATCGGAAATAAAATAACAATAAAAATTAATTTATTGATTTTTTTGATTAATATTTAAAATTTATAAATTAATAGAAAATGAAAATCTAAAATTCGAGATCCTTATAATTAATTGTA